CAATATGAGTGGATACACTTATGGTTACAAAATTTGAAGACTGTAAGCGAGTATAACTCTATTATATTTACAATAACTTTCCAAATAAAATTATGTGGGGAAGCTATGAATAATGAAGACTTATTGGAAAAGACTCTTACCATTTTTCGCTCAAGTATGGTGTCACAACGGTAATACCATTAAAGGAGTTTCAAAAGATATTCTAAGTTGATCTCATGACTTCTGGTGGCTGAGCAACATAATACGTTTTTGATGAAAAATCACGAAGTTCGTCTCGGAAGCCAATGTGGTAGCAACACATGATACGTCTAACAAAAAAAAGCAAAATAATTAATGGGGACATATAAATGTATGTGGGCACAGCAATGGCAAGGATCGTCATCATGGTGGCCATTATAGACGTGAGAACAATATAGGTTACCCGTACTTTTCTCACTTTTATTGTTTATTGTAGTAATATAAAGGTATTCAACGAATGGGAGCCTTGGAGCAACAGTAAAGTCTCTGTGTGACCTATAGGTCACAGGTTCGAGCCGTAAAATCAGTCATTGATGTTTGCATCAAGGTAGGCTGCCTACATCACATCCTTTGCAGTGTGGCCTTTTCCTGAACCCTGCGTGAACACGGGATGCTTCGCGCACTAGGCTGCCCTTTTTTATAAAGGTATTCAACATTTCCTTCATTAGTAATATCAACATGGTAGCCATTTTGGCGAATAGATTTGAAACTCACAAATTTTTGTGAGACTTTTTAGAGCAAACTGGTAATATTTTATATATAATAATATGCTAACCCGGGTTCCATTACAGTACATCTCGGGTTCTTTGAGACTTACTACAACACAATGCATTATTGATTGTCAATATTGTTCCTCTAGGTAGTCAAAGGTTGCTCTTCCAGATCCCTCAATTAATTTTGTACTACCAGATAGTATATTCACATAGGCTTTTTTCATAACCAAATAAGAGAAATATTTATTCTCCTTATATGGTGTGAGTTGTAGTACTATCCAGAAGGCATAGGTCTTCATTACTCATCTTGGATCCAACTGAAAACTAGGGAGTTTTATTTTCTTTAGAAAAACAAAAGTGCATCACAAGAAATACGAAAAAACTAAAAACACCATAAGACAACTTAAGTACAACTTGAAAATAGAAAAAAAAAATGGAAGAACAAGACAATCAAAACACGAAAATGAAAGCAACAACATAATTGCATTCCCTAGTAAAATGATCAAACTTCAATTTATTTGATCCCCAAAAAAGTCTCAACTTTCAAATAAGTAATATCATCAAGGTCTTCAAAAATATTGTCTTTAAAAGCAACACTTGCCTCGGTATTATTATCATATTTGTTTGAAGGACCTACCTCAACATCATTTTTAAAGGTCCAGTGCGACTCCATTTGGAGCACTAGCAGAAAAGGCTCCAACGTTATTTGCCCTTCTTTTGATGGAGTTTTGATAAAGTCCAACAAAATGCTCAAGGGCGCGACATTCACGTTTCTAATGACCTTTCATGTCACATCAATGATAGTTATTGTCTTTGCCTCTTGAAGGATTATTTTGAGAACCTATATTGTTCTTCCGTTTATAATGACTACCACGATAACCATTATTATATCGTCATTTGCCATTGCCACGCCCACGTATATTTATATGGCCTGTTAATTAGTTTTTTCTTTTTTTAGACTTATCATGTGTTGCTATAACATTTGCTTCCGAAAATGGAGCAGATCCAGTGGGACGGACTTCGTGATTTTCATCAAAAGGGTATTATGTTGCTCAGCCACAAGAAGACATGATATCAACTCAAAAAAAAAATTAAAACTATTTTAGTGGTATTACTATTGTGACACCATACTTGAGGCATGAAAAGTAGTAAGAGTCATTTCCAATAAGTCTTCATTAGTCATAGTTTCCCAAATAATTTTAATTGGGAAGTTACTCTAAATACAATAGAGTTATACTCGCTTACGGTCTTAAGATTTTATAACCCTAAGTGTGTCCACTCATATCGAGCCCTTGCAATATCGTTGCCTCAAGGTAATCATACCTTTCTTTCAAATCAGTCCACAATTCAAGTGGATCTTTCACTGTCAAATATTCAGCTTTTAATCCTTCATCTGGATGATGACAAAAAAAAATCATTGCCTTCGCTCTGTCTTGACTCGATGCTTCATTACCTTGAGTAATAATGTCACCAAGACCTTTAACGACTAAGTGAATTTTATTATCAAGGACCCATGATAAATAATTTTTTCATGAAATATCAAGTGCCACGAATTCAAGCTTTGATAAATTAGACATGATGAAAACTACCAAAGAAAATAAGTGAATTAGAAATAACGATAATTATTAATGAAGAAATCTCACTTGTAAATTTTTTGATAATTAATTAAAAGTTTAGCTTTGATAAAATTACTTAAAAAATGGATGAAAGCAGCTATTAAAAAAAGAGTTATTATCAACTTAAAATGGAGATACATGCTAATAAGAATAATGAACTAGCATTGAAACATGCAAATAATATACTAGGAACAACACCTAGCACTTTATGGATTTTGGACATAAAAGCTTACTTTAGTGAGCTCTTCATAACAACTCACACACACATCTTATCGTTTACAAACACATTATGTAACCATTTAGGAACACGGGTGGATATATATGACTAGTAATTAGTATTTCTTAGAATTTATAACTTAACCAAAGCAGAATGTCATCTTTTATTAATCTTTTATACAACTATTAACTGGTCATGCATATTGTGACTTGTAAAAATCAAATGCAAGAACCAAGTCAGATAGCTAAGAGAACCAAATAAACAGTATAAGCAAATTGAATTATACATAATCAGAAAGAAAGACTCAAATTCTTCTAGAGAGAAGATTAGAGCTTCGTGCTGATAGCGTGGTGTGAAATAATAACAATATAGTAAAAACTAAGAAATTAACAAAAACTTAAACTATAAGAAAATACTAGTAAGAGCATAAACTCCTTTTTCTACTTTGAATTGTGTGTCGTAGCATTGTGAGTTACATTGTTTTTTATAGGTATGAAAAACTAAAAATTACTATTGTAAAATAGTATTATACTGACGAATCCTCTTTTTCCTTTTAGTGATCTCAAGGAATTTGTCCCCAACAAGGTATCACATTAGTTTTAACACAACCACCTTATTGCCATAAGCTAGGCTTAAGTTGCTCATTGATTGTAATAAAAGCTAGAAATAGATACACGGGTTAGTTGGGGAGAACAGATGATCAGATTAAGAAGAGATGACAGTAGCAATCTGACCAAAGATATAAGAAAGATGAATGAGGAAGATAACAAATAAAAAGGGAGAATGTAAAAGATAAGATAAACGACAAAAGAGAGATTTAGAAAGTCCTATATATCAAGATGGAATTGCCATAAGAGGTGAACAGAAAAGGTGCAGAGAAGTACGCATGAAACCCAAGAGAGAGAAAACAGACTCAATCCCTCCTTCCCTCCTCTCTAAAATATAAATTAATTTGAAATAAATACATATATTGCAGTTTGGGTCGATTTCTTTTGGTTTGTATTTACTACCACTCAAAAACAAATATTGAAGGGTTTCTAAATTTTAGAACCATATATAACCAAGCACAAGTCGGGTCAGCAAGCTGGTCTGATGCACTTTTTGGTTTGATGCAATTTCTGGTTTTACTTTGAACATCTGGGTGACGCTTCAACTTAAGGAAAAATCAAGTGTTGCACCCAGCTTGCGCTTCAAGAGAGCACTTGACAAAAATTTCTTACAGTAAGTATTGAGACTTCAAAAGACGAAGATCTAGTTTTGCGCACTACAATCTTCGCTTGCTTTCTCGTCAAAAAGAAACATACATGTGGCCCAAGCAAGTATCGGGATGTGACTCATATGAGTATGTCTATAATCTATGTTTTCTTGATTTTATATTTCCTTTAGTATTCCTTTTATTTTTTTAATCATTTTTATTTTAATTTTGCTTTTGGTGGAGATTATTCTGATGTTAATGAAGCCATCGGTGATCTAGTTGAATTATCAATAGATAAACCTCAACTAGAAGGAATCATCTTTGAAGAAGAGGTTGAAGATGTGCAAGAAATTGATCTTGAAAATATTGAGGAAGAATGCTAAATGTTATTGTTCAAATGCTAAAACTAATAGTTATACTTTCCTACTTTTTTATTAGTTTATATAGTTCAATTAAAATGTTAATGTAACTTTGTATGGGGAATGGTGATTGCAATTGTAGTTTATTTTTGCCTTTTTGGTGTTCATGCTCATTTGATTGACTTAATGAAATACCTCTTTATAATTTGTGACTTGTGAGAGGGATGCTAAATGATAATTACGTCTTTTATTCTCTATGTTTATGTCAGGTTCTTCGACAAAACCAGTAAAAGCCTAAAAGGTATGTTTTCTTTATCTTTATATATCTAACTCTTTTATTTATGTAGTTATGTGATATCTATTATATGTTAATATACTTTGTGTAACTTGTAGGAGAATTCGAGAATGGAAGAAAATCAAGAAATCATGCTTGCAACTTGAAAATAAAAAAGAAATTCACACTTTACAAGCTATAAGCAAATATTTCACAAAATTTCTCAGAATTTAGAGATATTTTTATATTTTTATTTTTTTGAATTATTTTTAGGATCCCCGCACGCGTGTCCATTCTAGGATCTGTATCCCTGAATCTTAAAATTTACATCTCAAAGGATCCGACCTCCAGATCCACACCCATGTCGGACATACACACCCGTGTCAGAGTAACTTAGCTGGTCATAGATGCAAATTCTATATGTATCACTTAAACTAGCTCTAAAACTAGTTGTGGAACTTCAGTACAAGACGTCAGAATCTTTTGCCTTTAGTACGGGATATCCTTATTGAAACATGTCAGTGCTTAAAACCAAAGGAACATATAACTCCAAGTAACACGGGGGATCAGAGCATAAAGAAGATGGGAATGGGAATGCCACTACTTACTGTGCACATTCAGCTAGTTTCCCAAGATTTTGATTGTCCAATATGGCCAAAATCAGTGTCTTGTTCTCATCCAGGTACTGCATCACATAACAAAACCCATTTTACCACATGAATCCTGACACCTGAAAATATAAGGAAATACCTGAGGTGGCCGCAAAACCACTCAGCCAAGTAAGTAGTTATTCTTTCAAATTAATCGTGTCAGAAACATAGCTGTGAACCATTCACGGTTCACCGACTTCCATAAATAAAGATTTGTAATGAGAAGTATAGACTCATTCTCCTAGTTAAGATTGTTGGTTAAAGTCAGAAAATTCTTACATTAAATGTTCTTCCTTAATTATTTTCTCTTGAGTTACCCCATCAAACACGATTATGCTGTCCATTTCAATAAGTAATTCTTGCACAAAGCATCCAGCTGGAACATAAGCCTACTCCTAACTGCTAGAGAAATGACAACTCTTCAGAAACCAAAATCATAACCACCTTTTTAGAAATTTCATAAGTAAAGGTTTACTGAAGTTCAAAGCTTCATGCACATACAAATAAACTAACTCGTACTTAATACATATAGAAGAGTCAACATATTAATTGATTCAAAGAAGCTTTACTTAATAGAACTCCCCAAATTGACAAAACATTTCAAAATATTTAAGGACTCCACTAAACATTCAACTAATCCCCACAATTATTGCGGCAGTTATGAACTTATGATACCCACTTTAAATATGTTTATAGTGACAAGACTATGTAGAGAAGAACAAAATAGGCGTATAGCATAAAGCACCTTCTTTAGAAGATATCAAAAAGTATCATTTTTAGAACTTTCCAGATAAGGAGGTCAACAATGTGGGCATTATCGATTGTTCCCCACCACACCACTCAAATAGGCATAAGTTGTTAAGAACCACAGTTTCTATCTTCAGCGTAAATTGTTACTTAACTTTCTTAGAGTTCACATTTATAACAAACTTCAACATCCTAAACCATCTTTATCCATTCTCTCATCTTTCATTTTTCCCGGCTCACTGCCATTAAGCGTGTGATTGTAATTGCTCCGACTAAAACTAGCTTATCTAATTTTTTAATAACCGTGGTATCCAGACCAGCTTGCGCGCACCTCGACTAATTCCACGGGATACCTGCTACCTCCCACTAGCAACAGGTGCCAGTTAACTCTGTCTACCAAGCTTGAACAGTGATTTGAACCTGAGACCCTCATGGTTCTCAACCCACTTTATTAACCACTAGGCCACACCATCGGTTGCTCCATCTAAATCTAATCATAAGCTACTTGTTAATAGTATAATTGAGGATCCTTATATTTTATACTTCAAGCTCATAGCACAAGCTATCTCCTAACTGACAAGACACAATTAGGACATTTGTGCGAAATGGTCAATGTCGTGATAAAATATGGGTATTATCAACATGCATACAAGAACAATTTAGGGCATTCTGCATAGCTGAGTTCACAATTTTTCCACAAGCCCAAAAGTTATGCCAAATATAACTTGGAAATTACGGAAAAGTTTTCCACACAGAAACTTTTTGTTTCAAAATTCACTCAACAAAGACAATTCCTAGTTGTTAGAGGGATCATACACAGTTGATATTTAGTGTTACTACAAACTTTACCCTTCTATTTTTATTTTTTCTGTTGGGACGGAAGAGAGGGTGGTGGAACCATTGTCATTGATCTAAGCATAACATTTTCATAATTTGTGATCCTAATTCCTTTGTATGACATAGTATTGCAATGAACCAATGAGATAAAATAAATACACCACTTATTCATACCCAGGAAAAGAAATTCACATGGATAACCAAGATCAACTATAATACTATGATCAAACAACTATGAAAGCATTTGAAGTATTTGTCAAATAATCCAAATGATTTAACATAGCATTAAAATAAGCTTCTAAAGCAAGTTAACATAATCCGTCGCCTGAATAAAAAATAAAATTAAATAAAATATCACACAAAGAAACTAATTCAAGACTATTAGGCCATTACACCCAATTTAATCAAATTTGACATAAATATGTAAAACTCTCCATCTCAAGTACTATGATTTACAAAAGGGGAGCATTCACCGCAACTTCCATAATTTCCGGATAGTTTTTCTCCATAGAATTAAGGAATATTTCCAACCATTTTTCTTTTTCTTTTTTTGTGAAAGATAAAACAATAAATTACATACTTTATTACCAACCCTTTGGAGCAGAGATAACAACTACTCCTCAATCTCAAACAAACTGGGATCTGCTGTATGCATCCTAACTGTACACGTTACTCTATCTCATGTCGATCATATGCAAATACAAACAAAAAGTATTTGAAGCTCTGTATATTTTCTAACCGTATAAATCTCTTAAAAGATTAAACCACTCCTAGAAAGCATAGGACATGCGGTAAACTTTTGAAGTACAGATTATATAAAATAGTACTAATCTTCATCCCTTTAAAGGACAAAACAAGAAGTTCCACAATATTAGTAGAACTACTATTTATCACACATCAACCTACAGCTGTGAAGTGTTTTTCAACATTAATTTTCATTTATTTGTTGAGCCTTAGACTACTTATGCTTTAAGGGGTCGTTTAGTATGATGGATAAGCAAAAATAATACTGGACAAAAATTGAGTAGCCTTATCCCTTGTTTGATTACTAATCATTGGATAAGTTATCCCAAGATTAAAAGTAGAACCGGGATAACTTATACATGCCGGAGAGTGAAATAGTAATCTGGTAAGTTATACCAGAATAAACTATAAAGTAGTAAAATTGACTATGTAAGGATTAATATAATATAACATACAGTCAATAAGAAATAATCTCGGCATAATTAATCCCAAAAGCATAACTTGTCTTCAAAGCAAACGACCGCTAAGTACCTCAGAACACAGTGAGGCAAGAAAGTAAAAATTACCAACAGGGAAATTAGTAACAAAAAAAAAATGATAGTAATACCTTTTGAATCTGCTCAGTGGTGATATTGTTAGGAGGAAAAGAGGGCATGACTGGAATCATAGGTGGTGGCTGTTGCATCCTCGTATACTGCTAAACCCTGCTCTTAATTAAGGTTCTCTCAAAAAACACTAGGTTCTAATTGAACAATTACCAGAGATTATAGCTTTTTTCGAGAGGAAAAAGAAAACCTGAATTTTCAATATTTTCAATAAATTCAAACTTCACTGAAGAAGGATTTGAAACAAAAGGGGCGATTTTGAGAGTGGGGTTAGGTGGAACCGTGGAAGAGTGGGAAGTAAGAGAAGAATTGTGTCGGAGTCCGGTTGGACCGGGTGGATTGTTCTCGAAAGTTGGAAACTTTAAGGTATCCTATTGAACTCCATATTGAAAATGTGAAGATTTTTTGGGTGGATTTTCTTTTTTAAGTTTAATTCTTATCTTTTTCTTTTAAGCCAAACATTATTTTAGGGGTTAATCTAATGGTAAGCAACCTCCAACCAAGAGATTGTGAGTTTGAGTCACCCCAAGAGTAAGGTGGGGAGTTCTTGGAGGGAAGGATACCGAGGGTCTATTGGAAACAGCCTCTCTACCTCATGGTAGGGGTAAGATCTGCGTACACACTACCCTCCCCAGACCCCACTAGTGGAATTATACTGGGTTGTTGTTGTTGTTCCTAATTTTTACAATACAATGTTTTATGTGCAAATCCAATTCATTCAAGTTTATTTTAGTGTAAAATTAAACATATATTTTATTTCTATCTCTCATATTTTAATTTGAATCTAATAGCTAAACATTTATCAATAAATAAATATATATATATATATATATATATATATATATATATATATATATATATATATATATATAATAAAAAAATCTCATCATTAGTTAATCTCAGTATTATGATCTCATATTATAACGGGGTATTATCACTTTTAGGCCGACCTCGGCCTCTTGCGGCTCTAACAAGGGGCGCGGGTGTCTGATCATCGGATTCAGTTGTGTGTGTCCTCACCATTTGTGAGAGAATAGAAAGACAATTGTTTATAACTTTGAAATCAACAAAGGCGCACGATAAGGAATCAAAGAAGTGAATATTTCCTAATAGTTCCATAGTCTCTCGAAGATAAGTACAAACGTTTCTGTACCGATCCGCAAGACTCTACTAAACCTGCTTGTGACTCATAACACCTATGAACCTAGAGCTCTGATACCAACTTGTCACGACCCCAAATTCCCTCTGTAGGAGGTCGTGATGGCACCTAGTCTCTAAGACTAGGTAAGCCAATCAATTCGGAATAATAATAAATATCTAAAATAAATAAACTACAATTTAACCAAATTCAACTCCCAAAACCCGGTAGAAATAAGTCACAAGCTTCTAAGAATTTATTCTCCATGTCTCTATACATGAGAATCTAAAACAAATAAGGAAAACAACATAGTAAGATAGAAGGGAACTCCAGAGTCTGCGGACGATATATCTCGAAGTCTCCTCGTACAGTTAGTTTACTGATGCCTGGTCTAATAAGATTTACCTGGATCTGCACAAAAAGATATGCAGAAGCATAGTATGAGTACACCACAGCGGTACCTAGTAAGTGTCAAGCCTAACCTCGGTAGGGTTGTGACGAGGTCAGGTTAGGCCCTACTGGAGAATAAATAATGACATGGTAAAATGTTTAAACAATATGATAAGATAAAATGACAACGGGAATGAATCAAGTAGTATGTCACATTTAATTACACCAAATAATGGCAATTAATATCTCTTGAAAACAAAACAAAATTTCCCTTCAACTTCAAGAAAATCACAACAAATAATCAAAAGCAACTGCGGCCATAAATCAATATCAACAAGGGCACTCCCGAGGTACCGCTTAGTAGTCCCAAATCATAAATAAATTCACAATATCTCATTTCCTTATCTCACCGTGGGAGCCATCACAGTTTATTTTAAAGAAAATATTTTTTTCCGAAATAGCATCTCGCGTTTTAGCCAACCTTATCATACCGCATGACTTCTAGTAGTTCCCCCTACTAGTCACGCGTATCAAGCTACCCTTATCTCACCGCATGCATTTTAATATCAGACCTTATACCACCGCATGCGTATCAATATCACAATATATCATAATTTGTACCTCAAGTGCTCAAATAATTTAACTTGCCAAAATAATTCAACAACAATATTTTTCCACAATAAAAAGTTCACGGTTCCATCATAATGAGTACGAAAATCTTACAAAAATATTCAAGAATAAATAATTCAGAAAAATAATATTTCAAAATCCTTAATACGTTGCTTCAATATCAAATTTAAAAATGTCAAATACTTCATATTAATAATATTTAATTTAAAGAAAATCAACCTTCAAATAATGCACAGAATAAAAGAAACCAAGTTTCAACTAAACAAGTAAAATAATTAGCAGGAAAAGGTCAAACAAATTTAAGGTATATATTTCAGATCAATGATGAAGAATATAACAAGATAAAATAATTTAATAAATGCACAATAATGATCTACATAATTTAAAAATATAATCTTTCACATTTAGCCCGTGTACATACTCGTCACCTCGTATACACGACTTTCAACACATTTTAATAACCACATCAATACTAATCCTAGGGGAAATGTCCCCATACAAGGTTAGACAAGCCACTTACCTCGACTTGCTCCAATTTAACCAAGTATTATATTTTTTTCTCGATTTTCCGACTTTGATCGACTCGTATCTAGTCATAATTAATTCGATACAATCAACAACAATTGTAGGAATTAATTTCATAAGAAAATAATATATTTTTCAATAAAATTCGAAATTAGCTTAAAAATTGCACGTGGGGTCCAATGTATCAGAATCCGGCGAAACTTACAAAATCTGACAACCCATTCAATTACGAGTCCAACCATACCAGTTTCACTAAAATCCGACTCTGAATCGACACCGAAATCTCAAAAATTCGTTTCTATGAGATTTCTAAAAATTTTCCGAATTTCTATCTCAAAACACTAATTAAATGGTGAAACAATGATATATTCGTGTATACTGACCAAATCCGAGTTAGAATCACTTACCCCAATGTTTTTCCTTGAAAATATATCAAAATCGCCTCTCCTCAAGCTCCAATTCGTCAAAAATGGCAAATGGGACGAAGTCTCCTGTTTTTATAACTTATAAATTTGTGAGGGAGCCCGATTTGTCGAGGAGCCCGATTTTGACAGGGAGCCCGATTTTGACAGCATTTCCAGCAGAAAAATTGCAACAGCTTTTGTAGTAGCTAAGTCCCACTTTTGATCCGTTAACCATCCGAAACTCACCCGAGGCCCTCGGGACTTCAACCCAATACACCAACAAGACCTAAAACATCATACGGACTTATTTGAAAACCTCAAATCAAATCAAACAACGCTAAAGTCACAAATCACACCCTAATTCAAGCTTAATGAAACTCAAGAATTTCCAACTTCTACATTCGATGTCGATGCCTATCAAATCAAGTCCGTCTGACCTCAAATTTTGCACACAAGTCATAAATGACATAACAGAGTTGTGAAAATTTTCAGAACTGGATTCCGACCCCGATATCAAAAAGTCAACTCCCCGGTAAAACTTCCAAATTCAAATTCCTATTTTAGCCATTTCAAGTCTAATTTCACTACGGACTTCCAAATAAAATTCCGATCACGCTCCTAAATCCAAAATCATCATACGGAACTGTTGGAATCATCAAAATTCTATTCCAGGGTCGTTTGCACATAATTCGACATCCGATTACTATTTGAACATAAACTTTTAATTTTTCATCAAAAATCTATATTTAGGGCTAGTGACCTCGGAATTTGATTCCAGGCATACATCCAAATCCCAAATCACGATACGGACCTATCGAAACTATCAAAATACTTATTTGAGTCTGTTTGCTCAAAATGTTGACCAAAGTCAACTCAGTTGAGTTCTAAAGCTCTAATTCACATTTTAATCCTTTTTTCATATAAAAACTTTTCGAAAATTTTTACGCACTGTGCATGCAAGTCGAGAAATTATAAACAGTATTTTTCGAGGTCTTACAACACAAAATTAATTATTAAATTTAAAGATGACATTTTGGGTCATCACACTTGGAAACAAGAGCAAAAACTTGGGGAAAAAAGTTAACTAATATTAGCAACACCAAAAAATATTAAAACGATGAAAAGAGACAAAGAATCAAACGAAGACTTAGATAATAAAAAGAACGGGGCAAACCAACTCTAGAAAAGATGAAAGAAGACAAAGTAGGCCAATAGGTTGGAGATTTAGAGTTAAAAAAAAATCAAATGATAAAATAGAATTATGAAATAATAAGTAAGGACATAATTAGAATAGAAAATAGGAAACGATCGCACCACACCAAATCGGTTGTTTCATAAAATGGGGCTTTTGGTTGTTCCGGAACAATGGATTTAATAATACGATACAATCAATTTTAAATAAACAATCAAAACAAATATTGTTTTAAGATAACAATACAATACGATACCATGCGTAACAACCATCCAAACAAGTTGTTTGTAAACCTATAAAATAAGCAAAGGTTTATGCTTAAGTGTGGAAGTTTTTAATTCCAAGTCCACAACACTCTTTCGGGTTCACCGAAAGGGAAATCTCTCTAATGTAAACATGTAAGTTACTATTTTTATTTATAAATTATGTTACTTTCGGTTATTATTTTGAGAGCGGCTATATGGTGTCATTTCTCCTTCCCAGTATAATTTATTCCTACGAAATTTCTATCTATTATGATACTGAAATAATCAATCTATACTAAAGGTTCATCTTTGCATTAAAAAAATGAAAACCAAATATAAGATAAAACAATATTATAATCTTGCTTGAAAAAGATAGCATATCAAAATGAATTTACTGATCCTTACACTTGGTTAAGAAGAACAACGCTTATGGAAAGACATTGTCACGGGGTCGTTTTTCTGGTAACCCGTGAGAGCAGCAAGATAGCTTGACTACTACTCTTGTTTTAGTCCTAACCAACAAACAAGCACAATATCGTGCTTGAACCAAGGCAATCATACAAACTCAAAGGTTGGAGGGATAACGAAATGAAAGACACACAAAGATGATAGACCAAGGCCAATTTTCGGGTTTAATTCATATACAAAAAAAGGAAATACAAGTAAAGAGATATGTCCTCTAACAAGGCATATACATGTCTATTTATACAAAGAATGTCCATAGGCAACTAGGCTGGCTGTGGACCCGTCCAGCTGTGGTGCACTGCTTTGTGCTGGCATCATGTGATTTTCATGAATGTGTTGGCAGACCATGTGTCAATGGTCTTGTCCAGTTGCTGTGCCCCAGTTCTTGCTGG